ACATGATTTCCTTTTTTAGGTTCATAAATTTCCTTTTAAAATTAGTTAATTATTTATTTTTGTGATTGACACGTGTCATAATCTTAGTTAACAATAACACATGGCAAGATCTTATGACCAATTATCTATTGATGATGGAAAATTATTTTCTTCCCTATGGGAGAGATCTTTACCACTGTCTTTCTCTGGAGATAGACATGTTCAACCCTACTCCCTCTGCTGGGAGAAACTACTACTATACAAGTTGTATGTAGCAAAATTTTCAGTCTTATTCCTCGTCGGCGAAGGGACAACGGGACAATTTGTTCCCGTCGATTTCATCATGATCTTAGCCCGGAGTTGTACTTGTTTGGGTTTGACCCATAGCTTCCCCGTAACGAGCCTGCTTAAACTCGGTTACATCTATAGAAGTTCTTCCGTCAATGAGAGATCTATCACAACCACTTCTTTGGAGTGTGTTCACAAAAGCTCAGTCTTTAAGACAGCTATTGATGTTCTTTTGTCGGGAATAGTAGAAGAATTAGAAATCCATTTGCTTGCAATCGAGTCTGAAGCCTTTTTTAAGAAGCTTTCGGTTTTTGTCTACGATTCAAACTGCTTAACCTATTTCTTGAAGTCTATCGTGACGCATCCGAGATTTCTTTTGGATTCGCTGTCTTTTAGCTTAATTGTTATTATCTTCTATGTGTTTATTGCTTTCAATTGCTGTATTTTGCAGTTTTGTAAGATCATAGATTAAAAAAGAATGAATGAAGAACTTGTTGAACAAAAAACAAAAAAAAAAGGAGTTGTACGGCTAAGATGGAGATATAAGTGAGGTGTTTGGATTGAGAAAATGAAGAGTACATTCTTTTATTTTATTTCTTTACAAGAAGATGATTTTTTTATATAGATAAAGCGTTAACTTTGAAATGTTTTTATTGAAGACTCGGAGAGATGCTAGGCCCTAGCTGATTAGTTTCAGTAGTAACTAAATTGTCACTAATAAATCAAATCTCAAAACACCATTCGTTTTCTTTTTGTGGAAATTTTTTGTGTGTGTGTGACATTCAATTCAAGAAATTAAAGAGGAGAGTTGAGAATCTTCGGCGAGTGATGGGGAAGACCGATAAAAAAAAGTCAAAGTTCAAATGGGTTATTTTATACCTATTTTAAGAATCACACGGTAGAAAAATTGTAGTGCACCACTAAATAATTTTGTGCTAGGAGCAATATTATGATTTTGGCTTTCGGAATTTGGTTTAAGTGTATCATTTATGGAATGACTCTGCAAAAAAGGATGACAATTCATGAAAATTAGCTCGTTTTCCATGCATTATGATGGACCGGAAGCTTAGTTATATTACACGTAGGAGATTAGCAGATTCAATGAAAATGGAGATGATAGCTCTCAATATCTGTCAACGAAAACATTGGGAGCATCACTAGTGAAGCCATGGGACAAGCTGTTGCAAAAATTCGGTGGAGATCAATGTTTTGAAA